CCTCTGCCTATAACTCAGTGGCAGATTTAACTGTAGCGTAGACAGTCCTGGGACAATCAGGTCAAGGCTGTCAGTGAATATTGCCTCTGGACACAGTTTGTGGGGAAGAGTGATCACGCAGCCCTGCCTCATTTATTATCTCAACAGCTTGGCTTCAGAGCTGCAGCTCTCCTCCCAAAATGGCCCAGTGCAGGAGCTGTGGGAGCTGTGCCTCCCTCCACTCCTTTCTTCCACACATGGTATCTCAGCACTGAGGTCAAATCCAAGGTTTGGAATTCAGTTCAGGAGAAAATGGATGAAAACCCTCTAGGCTATGCTAGGAATTACATAGTAGAACAGATTAACAGACACAATGGTATCATCTGGCCTTTATTAGTTTCAAACTCATGCTGGGCCATTTCTAAGAGTTGAGATGATAGTGAGGTACCCTTGCAAGGTTACAAACCTGTGGATGATGCTTACAGAAGCTGAGGAGCAGTCAAAGCACTTCTGGAGTTACACAGCAACAGGTAATGCCAAGTGGAGAAATTCAGCTGAAGTTCACCAGCAAGGGGAAATGGCTAAACAGTCCAGGTTTAACCACCAAGATTCCAGAAAAAAAAAAAGAAGGACAAAGGACAACAGGGTGGAACATTTCTCAGAGAAGATGCCACAATAAATGCCACTTTAAAGGGCACAGGATCTCAAGCAAGGCAGGATGTGGGTGAGTGAGTGACAAGTGACAAGAGGTGCAGAGTTATTCTCCAGAGGCATATTCTAGAGAGGTGCCACATTCATTACTACAGAGTTCTTCTGAATCTGTTTGGAATCTGTGAAGTGAGGCAGCAAAGCTCAGATCATGGATCAGACCCACCCCTTTTCACTGGTCAAAAGTGTTCTGTCAAAGGAAAGTTCAGGATGTGCTTCAGATATTGTGTGGCCTAGTGGGAAAAAACAGTCCACACTCTTCCCAAAGGAGAGCAGCTCTCATCCCAGAGAAGGGCTATGAAATCTACAACTAGAGGATCATAAATGCTTAAATCACCAGCTGTGCCCATTCAGCAGGGAGAGACAGAGCACATAAATCTCCAAAGGCTCACTTTCAGTGGGAAGGGTAGGCAGGGACCACTGTTCTGGTGGCATTTCAAGTGCCTTTGATCAGACACATCATTTGGATTAGTCTAATTGGATGTTTGGCATCTCTGGCCTGCCAGCTGGCTCAGCTCCTGGCTCAGGCTAATCCCAGTATCACACAGAGACCAAGCCAGATCCTCTGTGCTTGTTTGGGTGACATAATGGCCAGGCCAGGATAGAACACTCAGTGGCTGGTGAGCTGACATGGGTCTGAGGAGGCTGGCAGTCCTAAAACATTCCACAGCTGTCATTTAGCCAGTTGATACAGATGCCTTGTGAGTCAGAGGTCTCTTGGGGTTCCTGTAATGAGTGGCCACATCAGCACCAAGCCGTGGTTAGAGCAGGGGAATCTACACAGTTGGCTGAGCTTAGGACCAGGGCCAGTCTGCAGGAGTGAGGACCAGCACTATCAAGGCCCCAGGATCATCCCCTTATTGGCTTTGACCTGCCTGGGTATGGGCAGAGCAGAGAGCAGCACAGCACTGCCTGTCTGCAGGTGTCCCACGGTCAGAGCAGGGCACAGGATGTGAACAGGCAGCAGCAGGGGCAGAAATGCAAATGTTTGGGAGATCAGAGCAGTTCACCCAGCTCAATGGACATCACTACATCCAGCTACATCAACAAACAGCTTAGAAAGAGACACTTCCTTTGCCTTTTTCCACTGTCATGCACTGCTGTTTTTCGTGCAGTAATTGCCTGCTAGGTGCAAATTACTCAATTATGCACTTAATTTGCTTTGGCTGATGCTCACCAGAGGCAACAAAGGCTCACCAGCACCCATGTTCCAGCTCCATCAGCCTGCCAACACATCTTTGGTGATAGAACAGGCCCACACTTGGAGCAATGGGGTGGCAGTCAGGAGAACCTCCCAGGTCAGGAGCATTGGTGAGGGGCTGAGCAAACACCACAGGCAGGACACTGCACCTATAGAATTTTGTAATTTTCAAACCAGATCAGGAGGAGCTTGAGGCAGTGGTGACAGTGTTCTGCAGCAACACTCAAAGCCAGGAAACAGGATCAGTGTCACCAGCAATAATGGTGCCTGCATTTTACACCTTTCTACTTTCCCTGCTCTCTGTAGGTTCACCCACAATTTTTTTTTCAGCCTCTTACTTGGTGAGGATGAAGTGGACGCAGAGGGAAGATGGGCAGCCCACAGAAGCTTCACAAAAAGAGGAGCATGGCTCCGGTTTCTTCTCCTGACAGGGACCAGACAGCGGCAAAAGCCCCCTGTCCTCCCAGCTTCCCTTCCCAGTGCATCACAGAGCCAATCCCTTCAGGGAAGAGAGCCAGATGTGACAAAACAGCAGGCTTTTGCTTTGAATGTGTGCAGGTTGGCACTCTCAGAGCACTGGGTGCAGCTATACAAATAACTCTTTGCTTTAGACCTCCTGGGACCAGGAGGGATGAGCTCTGATGTGTTCATCTCCAGCTACACATTGCAATTTGGGTGCAGATCATCACCACCCAACCACAGAGCCATGGAGCCATTTAGGTTGAAAAGCCCTCTGAAACCATCCAGTTCATCACAAAAAACTGCAGGAATTTCTTAAGGAGACAGGAGAAATGTCATTATTTGCAGCCTTTAAATTTACTAGTACTAAAACCAGTATTTGATAATTATGGACGGCATCCTGGTTTTGGTATTGGACCAGAAGCAGGCATCCATACTGAAATCTTACATACTATTTAAGTACAGACCAGGAGAAAAAAGGTCACACAGTCTGTGGATCATCCATACTCATGGATGATTTTGTTTACAAAATTTTTTGGCTGATTCAAATAATAGTAAATCTTTTCAGCTATATGTTACCAACTCTGTATTTTAAACACTAAAATCCTTCATTCCAACAGCCATGGGATGAAAATTTTCTTCTTCCAATAATAAAATCAGTCCACAGATAAAACTCAAAGGATTTGTAGCTCTGCTCTGATTTTCCAGATTTTTTTTTTTTTTTTTTTTTTTGTTTGGAGATGCTGCAGTAAAACATTAAAGAGGAAGAGGATCATCCTGGTGTTAACTGCAGCTGTTCTTCACATGAATCATTTATGCTTCACTGTAACAAGATGTTTATAACATGGATTTCACTTTAATCTTTTACTTCAATCCACTGAGTCCCACTGTGCCATGAGTGGTGAAATGCTTAAAAGTCACACCACCAAAAACTTTACATCACAAATAAATAAAATCAAACCGCACATAGGGGAAGAAAGAGGAGGCACACAGAAAAGGAACATAGCACAGATGTGATAGAGATTACAGTCTCTCACCCTTACCCTCTGGTTCCTCAGCGGCTGGTGGCATGAATTATGTTTAACAGCTACTAAGGACAGTTTGCTAAGTAATCAGACCACTGGTCCTGATGCTTCTGCTCAAGGATGACCTGCAGAAGGGACAGGTCAGGGATCTAAGTGGGCATTTGAAAAATTAACACCCTTGGCTGAGTAGCAACAGGTCCAAACAACCTTAAATAAGAACTGGGTACTCTCAGAGCCTCCTCCAAAAAGCCTGGGGAAACCAGAAATCTCTCTCTTGACAAACACTGTACACAGAAGGAAGAAAGGGATCGGGAAGTGGTGAACACACTGCACACTACCACATCTCCAGGTCCCCCTCCTAGGAGATTTTCCTCAAGTTCAGAAGGGAACAGAGGTGCAGGAGCAGGGATGAAGCGCCAAGGGGGGCCCTGGCATCGCTCCTGTGGGTGGGCGCTGGCTCTGGGCACACGGAAAGTGGCAGCAGCCACTCAGCAACATCTTGTCCTGGCTCTGGGAGCCCTCCAGCGGCTGCCTACAGAGGGAATCACGGAATGCTTTTGGATGGGAGGCGCCTGAAACATCATCCCGTTCCCACCAGGGGCAGAGACACCTTCCACTAGACCAGGCTGCTGCAAGCCCTGCCCAAGCTGTCTGTGAGTCGGGTGGGTGCTGCTGTCCCTGTCACCATCCAGGAGGGAGGCAGCACCCCGGACAAAGCGAGAGCCTTCAGGGATACACCATTCCTCCCTCCTTCCTTTGGCCTGAAGCAATGGCAACCAACCTCAAGGTGAACCCAGACAGGGAATTCACGCCCCAGAGTTGTTAAACCTAGCCACGAGATTGCCATAAGGGAGATGGCCGGGGGAAACACCATTAGCTCCCCATAGGCCCCAAGCTCTGCAGATGAGCAAGCTGCACAGTTAATTTGATAAAACTAAATCCAGAAGAAAAGCAGTAAGCATCTGTACAAGGATGCTGGGCAAAGAACTGGAATTCATCTTATTTCAAAGGAGGGAATGACTCATGGCTCATCAGGATCATGTGAGTGTGGACAGAGCAGGGTGCCAGGGCACACCAAACCACTCATCCACCAGTGAATCTTGGCACAAGTGCCTTCAAAAGAAGAGTGGTTTGAGGTTTTTTCAATACCTAGGGATTACAATATCCAGTGAGCACAAGGGGTAAAGCACAGTTGGTTTGAAGGCTCCAGGTTCAAGAGAAGGAAGTGCCTTAAGCTAGGACAGTAAGAGTCTTGCTTGTTACAGCCTCAGGCATATTGCAAAGGATTTCCTCTGGGCTGGTGACTGGGTGGCAAAAGCCATCCCCTCTTGTCCCATCACACACATGGCACTGGATGTTTGCAGCTCCAGTCTGCAATTCCCTCCTTTTAGCTGGAAAATGATTAATACTGTGATCCTTCTGCTGTAATTTTCATATGACTGACCGCTGAACTATTAATACCTAAACCCAGAGCTGGTTCAGCTCAACAACTCATTCCCTCCAAGGAGGAGAAAACCACAACTTCTCCTACCCCTGGAAAAACCTTTCATCACTGCAAGATCAGCAGCTCAGATGTAACAAGATGGTTCTGGTTTGCTGATGCCTCTTAGGGGAGAACATCGTGCAGCATGAGAGAGCTCAGCTTGGTTCTCCTGTGCCTTCTCCGCATCTCCAGGAAGGGTGAGTTCTGAGCTTGCTATCAGCCCCTGTCTGATCACAGCTTCTCCTCTCACCCTAGTCCAAGTGACAGGGAACTGCCTGCTACAACAGACTCTCCAAGAATTGCATTCTCCATCACATTGCTTAGAAGTATCCTGAAATTCCAAGTGCATATTACAACACTGAGAAAACTCAGGCTTAGCAATTGTCAGAGAGGTCATCAGTTTGTGGGTGTTTTTGCATTTTTCTGTTTTCCTAACTTGAGCAGGAGGTTCATCTGACTTTTCCCCAGCTTTGTTCAGCGGATGCAGCATTTTCATCACTGGTCTGCTTCATATTCCTTAGGAGTTATTATGCAACAATATTTTCCAGTTCCACTGAGCACAAGCTCACATTACTTCAAATATGTGTTTAAATTCCATTAAACTCCATAGGATTTGCTAAGCTTCACTGCCAAACAGCAATTGCCAGAGCAAATGTAGTTGTGAGCTGGTCCCCAGCTCTTGCTGTTGTCCTCATGACTTTTCCCACTGACCACCAGCAGTAACACTGACCTAACAACTTCTTTTGGAGGTACCTTCTGTAAGGTGTGTAGGCTATTTGCCTGTCTCTTTCTTGTGAGAGCTACAGTTCCATTAGCAAACGGAGGCTGGATGGTAACAAAAGGAATATGAAAGATCTGCCACTCTGAGGCTTTAGAGTTAAGGGTAAATTATACAGAGAAAGTTGACAGCTCACTTCACTCATAACTAGGCAAAATGTGTTTCCATGGAAATGGGCGGAGATGCTAACATTAAAATAACTTCTTTTTAACATTATTTTTCATCTGGAAGGCAAGGGGGGCTTATGTGCTAAAAAAAAAAAAAGTGTTCTTTGCTTAAGATTGAAAACAAACAAAAAAAAAAGGCAAATCAAAGGGGTGGCAGAGAGAAGCATGTCATACTCAAAAGGATACCACCTACAGTTCTCCTAAAGTAAAGGTTACAGTGACATGCTGCAAAATAACTAAAACAATAGCAAATAAGCTAGAAAACAATAGCAATTACTGTTTTCAGTGCCAGATGTTTGTGCTCAAAGCCCATGAGCTTCATGAAGCTCCTGCAGTGCTGCAGCATTGTTTATTAGATTACCTGGGCTGGAAAAGGCGCCCATACCATTATTGTGTATGACAGGGCAGCACAACTCCAGGTCTCAGTAATCAAAATACTGGCTTAGAGCTGACTCTATGTAAATATCTGAACAGAGAACTGGCCCTAGGATGGCCTTTGTCCATTGTGTAACACACAATAGATTAATACAAGCTGCTCTGCCACGTAGGTGTTTGTCAAGGGTTATGGACCACAGATACAGGAACAAAAAAGAAATCTTGAGTCTACAGGAGTAATCCAACAGCTGAATGCCCAGCTGTTGGATTACAGACCTGGTCTTACAACAAGACCAGGGATGGGTGGAAATACTTACAGGATGCTTTTCCATTTTACAGGTGTTCTTAGCTATTGAGAGCCCCGATATAATGGAGCTTCACAAGACAGGAATGTAGGCACAGATGTTTCTGAAGACATAATCTGCTGCTACAGCTGTTGATAGCAGCAGAACACTGGGTAGATATATGTCTAGACATGTCTATAGATTAAACTGAAAGAGGGGAGATTTATATTAGATACTAGGAAGAAATTCTTGGCTGTGGGGGTGGTGAGGCCCTGGCACAGGTTGCCCAAAGAAGCTGTGGGTGCCTCTGGATCCTTGGAAGTGTCCAAAGCCACACTGAATGGGGCTTGGAGCAACCTGGGCTAGGAGAAGGTGGTCCTGTCCATGACAGAGGGGTGGAGTGAAACAAATTTTAAGGCCCCTTCCAGCCAACCATTCCACAGTTCCATGATCCCTTTTTGCTTGTAGGTGTGCAGTGCAATGGCTGGTCTGTCCACGTCCCATCTGACGTTACTGGAGAGCTTGGGAAGATGGTTATCCTGCCCTGCACCTTCACACACCCCTACAAAACATTTGACCGGGCCCTCACGGCCATCTGGAGGATCAAGGAGCCTTACAACGGCACAGTGATCTTCAAGTGTGTGAGCCAGAGCAGCAGTGAGCTCTGCAAGACTGCCATCAGCCACAAGAACAAGTACAAACTGCTGGGCAATCCCCGGCACAAGGACCTGTCCATCAGGGTGGACAACCTGACCTGGAGCGACAGCGAAAGGTACTTCTGTCGGGTGGAGCTGGCTGGAGATATCCAGGACAAGTATGAAAGCAGGAATGGGATAAAGCTGCATGTGATTGGTAAGAGGGCCTGAGAGGTAAAGGAGGCAAAGCCACCATCTGGGGAAGAACGACGGGGTGTGGGAAATGACAAATGGCAGCAGAAATTTACCGGAGGTGGTTTTCCAAAGGGTTGGGTTTTCTTTCTCCATTATAACAGGGAAAATTCATTGTCCTCCTCAGACAGTGGGGGAAGGGAACAGGAACAAAACTGGTAAGGAAATGGCAGCTGGGGTGAGAGCCCACCAAAAGCTGTGCATCCCACTTTGTCCCTTGCAGCACAGGATCAGGGCAGGCAGCAGAGGGAAAGTGGGGTTAGCTAAGCTGGGGTTAAAGACATCCTCTCCATCAGCCCCTGAACTGGAGAGCCCAGGTGCTGAGCACAAGTTCACAGATGTCAGCACTGCAGGGCCTGGGGGGGTGACAGGGGATTGGAAAGACAAGATACCTGGTACCCAGGTGCCATAAATCTTCTGGAGCATGAAACACAAACCTGGAAACCTTTTTTCCCCTGGAAAACCAGCTCAGAGCAAAAAATGTCAAATGTTAATCCCACTTCCTGGGGCAAGCTCACAGATCAAGGGGGAGCTAGGAGACACAGGAGGTCTCAGAAGCAGACTCAGATCTTACCTAGGCTATGAGGTTGAATGATTTTGCTTTTGAGAGGAAGTTCCTTATGCCTGTTGTGCAGTGTGGGTGTCCAGATGGGACCCGAGGATAAGCTTGGCTGTTTCTTGAGAAGTTCTGCTCAGCTGAGGCTCTCCTTCAGTTGCACCAGTTCCTGAATACCCACAAACAGCAGGACCAGGGCAGGATGGCAGCAAGACCTGTCTCTCAGGGTCTGTGTGGATTTTAACACCAGAGGAATGATAACACACACGAATACAGTACCCTGCTCAGGAATGGGACCTGACACTGTGATTGGGAGGGCTTAATTAGTGCTTGAAAATTTAATTTAAATACCAAAACACACAGACACATGACACACAGCCTCAGATTCCTCTTGCACTACGTGGACAGAGAATGACTTGTAGTAGGTGTTTGCAAACTCTGTTTTTGTTGTCTAGTCTGAAAAAAATGAATTCCTGCTCTTCCACTACGAGGACATTTAATGCTCTTCACTTTCTGTAACACCTTTTTAAACACTTCCAGGGGTGAGGGCTCCACCATCTCCCTGGGCAGCCCCTTCCAATATCCAATCAACCTTTCAGTGAAGAAATTTCTCCTAATGTCCAACCTGAAAGTGACCTGGTAACTCTGGGGCTGGAAAAAAAGTGATCAAAAATAGATTGTGGCGAGAAGCAGATATCTTCCCTATAATAAACCTGCCAAATGCAGCAAGTCTCAGGCACCGAGGAAAGGGCTCACACAAACGGGTCCTTCCACATGCAGTGCACTCTGCAGGTCAGAGATCAAAGAAACAGCCACAAAATGCTTGTGCAAAATACTGTGGGTGACATGTCCTGGACCTTGTGGAGATGCAGCCAAGTCCAGTAAGGTCACCAGCTGCACCTGTGCCTGCAATGGTGGATGGCACTTCTCTGCCTTCTGCCCCCAAAAAAGGTGTGCCCAACAGCTGAAGATGGGCAAAGTTCAGAAGAATGTGTGAGCCATTACTGAGATAAAACAAACAGAGGTCACATCCTTACATCCAGGCTTTGCTGGGTGAATCCTTTTGTCCCTCTATCCAACACAGGCTGAGTGGGGAAATCTAGAAGAAAGTGCCAAGAAAAACAGGGAAGGAGAAGGCTGATCCAACCTTCCATAGAGTCATTACATAGTTTCTATTGAAGAGAACCTTTAAAGCTCATCTTGTCCAACCCCCCTGCCATGGGCAGGGAACACCTTCCATTAGATGATGTTGCTCCAAAGCCTGTCCAACCTGGCCTTGGAGACTTCCAGGGATCCAGAGGCAGTGACAGCTTCTCTGGGCAACCCTCTTTTCAAAAAAAATTCCTCTTTACATCAAATCTAGATCTCAAATCTTTTAGCTTCAAAACATCAACCCTTGTGCTGTCACAAAATGTCCTGCTAAAAAATGTATCCCCATTTTGCTTGGAGCCCCTTGAGGCCCTGGCAGGGGCTCTGAGCTCTCCCTGGAGCCTTCTCTTGTGCAGGTGAACAGCTCCAGCTCTGCCAGGCTGGCTCCAGAACAGAGGGGCTCCAGCCCTGGCAGCTGCTCCGTGGCCTCCTCTGGAATGGCTCCAGCAGCTCCACGTCCTTGTGCTGTTGGAGCCAGGGCTGGGGCAGTTCTGCAGGTGGGGTCTCAGCTGAGCTCAGGGGCAGAGGGGCAGAATCCCCCCTGCCCTGCTGCCCATGCTGGGGGATCAGCCCAGGGCAGGGGGGTTCAGGCTGGGGCAGGTCCAGCTCTCACCCACCAGAATCCAACTTTACCCTGAAAGAACAACGCTGAGGGTCCACCAAGACCAAATCTTCATTCCAGCTGTTCTGCACCTGATCTTCCTTTGCAGCCTGACCCACTTTCCCTCCCCTCCATTGTGATACCCGCAGCCGCCCCCAGGATCATTAACATCACGGTCAGCTCCAGCAGGGACCACACCTTCCAGGCCCGCTGCACGGCCGAGGGGGAGCCAACACCCGCCCTGACCTGGAGTGGGCCCCCCTACAGCAACCTGAGCTCCACCAGCAGCTCCAGCCACCGCGTCACCAAGGAGCTGCGATCCCTGACCCACGATGGGAAATACACCTGCACTGCTGTCAACAGCCACGGCAGGGCAGAGGGGGCCATCTACTTCTACAAATTCAGAGCCTCCGACAGCTCCTCCTTCATGATCCTGATCTTTGTCCTACTGGGAATCAAGGCGGTCATTTTGCTGGTGATACTGAGCTTCAGCGCTTTCCCCAGAGAAGGTCAGTGTCCAGACTTCCCTCCATCCGACTGGCAATCAGGGATGGATGTGCAGACAGATCAGGCAGAAGGGGACTGGGTTTGTTTGGGGGAGGGAGTGTTAATGATTTTATGATTTTCTGCCCTAGGAGAAGCACAATTCTAGCCGAAAACCTAAGAGCCAAGACCTTTTGGCTGTCTCTTCACAGGCTGCTGTGAAATTTGGAAATTTCCTTTGGAAATTCAGAGGGAGCAGGAGTTTCCCTGTGCCCAAGAAGAAATGTTGATAAGGGGAAATCAGTGGAGAACCCACTGCCTACATAACCAGATTTTTTTTTTTTCCCTTGAAGCAGGCTAATTACTATCTGTTCCCCTGTAGCCCACAGCCCACGATTTACCTTTGCTGCATTCCACCCAAGTTTAATCTCCTGGGATGGGCATCCTCATTTTACAGACTGCCCCTGTCAGTCCTCCAGTGTCTCACTACCCAGTACTTCCCAAGATTTGTGAAATCCCAGTCACGCCAAGGCTGTGAGATCAGGGAGAGATTACAGGAGATGAAAATCAGACCATGGTCTTAGGGATACCACATCCCAAACAGTCAGGAGGCCACTGGTCCCCAGCCCTCCAGTGCTGCTGAGTGGTGGCATGGGCAGGAGAGGACTGAAAAGAATGAGACGTCACATCACTGTGACCCGTCTGCAGGGACAGTCTGATGTCACAGTCATGGAAGCCACCACTTGCCTTGAACAGTAGAAGTTGTGAGACCAACCCAAAATGCTTTGCTCCTTATATTCCAGTGTCTAATTCCCAAGCACACAGAGAGGGCCACATGCCAGACTTCAGGGCTTCTTCTCATTCACTGTAGTGTCACAACCACACTCCAGTGCAGATTCTCAGGAGCTCTAGGTCACTCCTGGCTCCCCCAGCCCACTCTGACCTAACCCACATCATCATTTCCACTTCACAGGTCCCCCCTCTGCTCCACCCAGCCTGGCCAGGTAAGGATGTCTTGCCTTCTAGTCGTGTTATCCTGCAGGAGAGTGAGGATGGCCAAGGTGAGAAGTGCAGCTTGTCCTTGGTCTTGGTAACGATTTTCTGGCCTCAGAGCAGGCTGCTGAGGCAAGGAGAGGGTTGAGCTGGTGGCCAAGTGAGCTAGTATGAGGGAACAAGGGCTGGACATTGTTGGGAGGAAGTTGTGGCTTGGGCACAGCTGAGAGGAGACCCCAGTGGAGTGAGGACAAGGGACTGGACAGCAGTTTGGAGAGACTGGAGCACATGGCTGCTGTAGCAGCAAAGGGCTGACAGAAGTTTAGATGTGCCATAAACCCAGAGCATGGCTGGAAGGTTGCAGACAGGCTGGGGCTGTTCACCTGCACAAGAGAAGGCTCCAGGGAGAGCTCAGAGCCCCTGCCAGGGCCTCAAGGGGCTCCAGGAGAGCTGCAGAGGGACTGGGGACAAGGCAGGGAGGGACAGGACACAGGGAATGGCTTCCACTGCCAGAGGGCAGGGACAGATGGGATCATTGGGAAGGAATTGCTGGCTGGGAGGGTGGGCAGGCCCTGGCACAGGGTGCCCAGAACAGCTGTGGCTGCCCCTGGATCCCTGGAAGTGTCTCAGGCCACGTAGGACAGGGCTTGGAGCAGCCTAGGATAATGGAAGGTGCCCCTGCCCATGTTAAGGGGTGGAACTGAATGAGGTTTACGGTTCCTCCCAACCCAAACCATTCTGTGGTTCTGTGATGCCACATTAAACCAACAATAGATCATCCACCCAAGGGAAAGGTCAGGGATGGGGTATGTACTGACACTGTCAAACAGAAATCTTCCCCTCCCTCTGCACCCCAGTTTGTAATGGAGTAGAAAAAGTTAACACAACAAAGCTGATGAGCTCAGCCAAGCATGCAGGGAGAGACTGCAAACAGCCCAGCTCAGGTGTGACAGGGCCTGATTCTTGGGCTGGCATCCACACCATGCTCCCACAAACCTCTGGCATTTCCCATGGCCCAACACAACTGATCTTGGACACTCCTGACAGCTGGGGTGGCCAAACTTCTGATGTGAAAAAAATTTGTAAAAATTAAAAAAAAAAAAAAAAAAAAAAAAAAAAAAACCAAAAAAAAAAAAAAAAAAAAAAAAAACACACACACAAAAAAAAAAAAAAAATCCCACCAAAACCAATCCTCAACCTAATAGTAAAGAAGACTTATCTGAGGTCAAGGATAATTACATCTGCGTGTGGTGTCTCCCTTACAATCTGAGTCATTTCTTTGTGATACTTCCTTCCTGAGCTACCCCACGTCTCCTTCCCTGACCATTCCAGTAGGACAGTCAAGTGGACAAGGAGGGCACAGCTAAAGAAACAAGGAATTCATTTAATCCTACACTCAAATCTCTAATTTCTTGTAAAATAGCATTAAAAAGCACTGTTTTTCTGATTTATCAGGATCTAAACCACATTGTACCCTTGGTTAAGTTTGCATAGATACCTACACAGATAAGAATGCTTAAAGTCAACACTTACATGAGAAGATCCTGCTGGAAAAGGTTTCACAGTATTCACAGAATGACTGGGTTGGAAGAGACCTTAACGATCATTGGGTCCAACTCATGTCCTAATACCTCAACTAAACCATGGCACTGAGTGCCACATCCAGTCTTTTCTTAAACACATCCAGGGATGGTGACTCCACCACCTCCCCAGGCAGACTACTCCAGAACTTTATCACTCTTTCTGTAAAAAATTTTTTCCTAATATCCAACCTGTATTTCTGTTGGCGCAGCTTGGTTTGTCACAACCTCACGAGGTTCTGGGCAGGACAGTAGCACAGTGGCTGCTAAAGGTGCAGGAGAGTGTTCTGCATGCTTTAAGATGTAAAAGCTTTATGGTGTAAAACAGTAGTTGCAGCTGAGACCCTTAAAACTTCTGTGAAGTAGAAGAAGCTCTGTCTCAGAGTGTCACAGACACTTCCCCTGACATCCACTGGAACCACTGGGAAATCCCAGAGCAGCCTGAAATGCCCTCACTGTTCCCACATTCCTCCTGCCAGGCCACAGCTGCCGGAGTGCACCTACGAGAATTGTGACCGCAGACACAGCCAGACCCAGCCCAGGGCAGGGGCAACGCCCAGGTGCAGCTGAGGGACCAGCGGGACCCATCCCCACGGATCTCCTTCCCCAGGGAGCACAGAACCAGCCTTGGCTGAGGCACAGGGGTTCAGACCAGCCTCGGGGAGCTTGGAACTGCATCATCCCTAAACTCCCTTCCACAATGCAATGAATTCCAGCCCTCCTTCTCCTCACAAGTGAAAGCAGCCTTTTTGGTGAAAAGAGAAGAAAGAGTGATGGAGCTGGAAGGACAAAACGTGATCAATTTTAACTTATCTGTGTTATTAGCCCCTGTCAAATATCTAAGCAAGCAGGCAATAGTATAGAATTGCCTCAAAGCTTTTTGCTTTGGTATTTTTCAAACATTGCTCTGAAAAGCATTTTCACCACTCCACTTCTCCAACCACATCCAAATGGCTACTGACGTGATAGAAATCCTAGCTGCGGCAAAACACTACTGGAATTTCTGATGGAGCTTGTTCCTTTTTTAAAAAATTATTATTATTCCTAAATGCCCAAAAGAGTTTATTTTAGAGTTTAAAAGGAAACCTTAACTTTAAAGAGGAGTCCAAGAAAAAAGATGTTTTCCAAAAACTGGTAGAACTGAAAGCAGGATATGAGAAGTCTAAAGTAGACTGTGTTGTAACTCTGCTTCAGGTCCTAATGCCCAGAAACTCAGAGCTTTGTGATAAATTTTCCAATACACAAAATTGTTAGGTTGGTTTTTTGTTATGTTTTTAATGGCTAAAAAATATTTCTAAACAATTTCCATCTCTGTATTACACAAAGGAGTTTCTTTAAGGTCTGACTACTCATTTCTTAAATCTCTCTCTTCTGAGATGAAGTCACTACTGCAAAATCACAAAGACCATTAAGTCCCTAAGGCAAACCACAGCCAAATCTCTTACACAACTGTAAACATCCTCCAAGATCAAGTGAACAGATACAGCTTATGGTATAGGGCAATGTGGGTCAACCTGGAGTCCTGGGGAGGCAAGCAGAGGCCCAGGATAGAGCTGGAGACAGCAACAGGTTGGCTTAGATGGGGAGGAGGAGAAAGAATTTAGAAAGAGCAGTTGGCTTGAACTTACTTTCACATTTATACTGCTGGATTTGATGCTCTGTGCAACCATCTCAGTGCAGCAGCTCCAAAACTGTTCCCCAAACAATCCTGCTTCTGGTAACAACCACCAAACTGCTATCATCAAGCTTACAAGCTTGACCCCAGGCTGCAAATCATTATTTTAAAGCTCACCTCTTCATAAGATCTGCACTGGGAGAGCAAAGCAGAATTTTAAATTACTTGGCCAGAATGATAAGGGGGAAAGAAAAAATAAATGGGAGGATATACTTGAACCTTATCTTTTAAATCCCTACATAAAATTCCAGCAGTGACAAAGCCAGATTTAATAAAAAATAAGAAGAGATGTAAAGAGAAAAGGGAAGTTAAGGCAGACAGTGTAGTCACAGACCTGTAAGCTCAGTTTCACGGGTGTCAGAGATGAAAGAGACCTCAGAGACATCAGTTGGACAAACTGAATTGGATTTCTGAGCCCTTATGATTTACAGACATACAGTAATGAGATCTCACTTCTACCTGTGAATATGATTTAGGCTTGGCTTCCTGAATTTTTCTCTCAAAAATTCTTTCTTTAACTCAGGTAGTTTGGGTCCAAATAGAAGCATCAGACTCCTCAGGTCCCAAAACCAGCTGGTTTCCCCTGGTCCTCATAGGAGACTCAAACCACCCACTCAAACCAGTATAAATTGGAGGAACAAAACACAGCAGTGCACCCACCAGGATGCTTCTGGTATTGAACTCGTCTGGGAGATGCGGGGAATGCCAAAGCCCTTCCAGTAAAACTAGAAGGAATAAAAAGTCAATCTGTTTGGCACCACTTGGAAAATAAAGCCCCAAACTCTGGAGTTCACATGTGCACGGAGAGCTGCAATACAGGTTCAGACTTCAGCCACCACACTGATCAAGAAGCCAGAAGACTGTCTGCAGGTGACACATACAGCAATTATGTATTGTCAGACATGGATCCTTCTACCAAGCTGAAAATATCACAGTGTCTGTCACCATCTGGTTGATTTTCCATTTTTATTTTGCATGGTCTTTGCAGACAGAGCATGTTATAAATACAACATTTGTAAAAACTCAACAGCTGAAACAATTCCTCATTTTGAAAGTGCATGTCAAACACGTATTTCTGACTTCTTCACATTTATATGCAACTGATCAATAACATTTAACCTAATAAACCCAGTGCTTTTAAGTCTTTGGGGGGAAAAGCAGCAGAATGCATTTCTCCAGACATGAATTTTCCAAAAAGGTTTGTTAAAAACCATGCTGCATTGGTATCTGGTTACTATACAGAGGGATGTACATATATATATTTATTTATAGGCTCGCAGATAGAGCAGAGAACTCTAAGACCACATTAAAATGACGGTGATCTAATGACCCAGCTGGCATAATTAGCAGAATCTGCCAAGAAGAAAAAGGTAATCTGTCCTCTAGCACCAGAACCATGGTTTAAGAGCAACAGCTCAAAGCATCATTGACCAGTAGGTAGCACATTTCTATCCCCTATTGACCCAAACTCATGTTTTAACATGCAACCATGTCAAAAACACAAAGGCACAATTAATGGAGGAAGAGGAAAAAATGATCAGTTCCTTCATAGAGCTGTAGGGACTGGGATTGCAGGACCTTGGGCCAGCTCAAACAGATCAATCATTAAAGGGACATCAGACAAGCACCAGGAAAAATTCGCCTTCTGCTTTTCCTAAACAAAAGTGCATCCTATGATCAGACAAGGCAACAAAACCAGTGATCGTTCAGCTGAAACAATAGATTTACAGGCTCAATGGTTCATGCTTTGGCAACAGAATTTTAACAAGTGATCACCAAATTTAATACAACAAAAATACCTCTTCACAGTGTCACCTAAAATCCTGTCATGTCATGGCCAGCCAGGCAGAAGAAAATAAGCTTAAGTGGTGGTTATTAAACATTTCCTAAACAACTGGACTTAGGAATTAAGGAATCCTATTTAACATGATTGTAACTGACTGTTCCCCTCTCAGACACTAAAGATCCAGAAAATATGTCTCTGGATTTAAATCCCCTTGAACTTGGCTAGAAGTTACTTGCATTTAATCAAGCAATACAGATGCAGACACACTATATTTAGAAAACAGGGAAAAACAATGTTCTTAGTTCCTATTTGTGTTGGTATTTACAGGAGTGGGTAAAGATTGTAGGCATGCCTCTAAACTATTGACTTCTGTGGGATAGCAAAAAAGTCAAAGTTTAAAATACCATCCTTTCAAATACAGGGACTTCACAAAAATTGTTAGACACACAGGTAAGACTCAGGTAAAATTGTAAGACTCAGAGGTATCCTGGTTAAGAAAGTCAAACCTCTTTTACACACAATCCTCCACTCACTTTTGAACTGGTCTGAATGATGACACGCTGGAAAATAAAAAAAAAGGCACCAAGCAAAAAATTCAGATACTATAGGATGAGCTGTGCTGACTAGTGATTTGTACACCTATCCCCAGGCACCCCTTCTCTCCAAAGGGCACCACACACAGAAGATATTAAGAGCTTTCATTCAAAAAAATAAAAAACAAAACAAACAAAAAAACCAAAACAAGACCAGAAATGCAAACCATTAAGCAATTCCACAAGCCGAACAAACAAAAGGAAAGCAAGAAAACCTTGAAGTGGAGAAAACTTGACAGTGTGCAGTTCTTATTCATAGGTCTGACTTAATTAAAGTGGAACTCTGAAGGTAAAAATCATTTGTGCAATAAGGACACTGTTTGTAAACCAGAGCCACCGCCGGTCCTGCCACCCACCCAGCACCGCTACCGGATGCTGTCCAAAAAATGCACTTCTGGGTACAGCGTGTTCACCAGGAGGGACAGGAGGTTATTGCCATCCTGAAGGCAGTGCTCAGGGTGCTTGATGAACAAAGAGGCCTGGGACAGCTGCTCTTGGTAATCCATGTATTGTTTGTTGGATGACATGGCTTCGAGAGCACTCAGTGCCTACACCAAAAAGGGAAAATTCTGTTAATTTTGTGCATTTTAGTCTGTGACACAACACCATCTGCACAATTCCCCTAAAGGATCTTCACCTACTACAGAACACAGAGTACTCAGAAAAAACAGTTGCAAACTGCCATCTCATAACAGTATTTCAGGTCACCTTGTATTTTTCAACCTGTTCTCTTCAAGATCAACACAAAATCTGTCCTGTTATTGCTTCCTAGGATTCTGTAACCCAAATATTGTCAAATATCAACTTCATGAACTCAAGACAGAGTTTCACAGAAATTATGTCAAACTACAAGCTGCAAAACACTTAAATATTTACTTTAGGTTGTTCTTATAAACATATTGACTTTCATGAGAGTATTGTTTTGCTCCCATTAATAGTATTGAAGTTAGATATTAACTGTCAAGTTAAAAATCTTATGTAGAGAAGTCGGTTGGCAGGATGAGCACGGGCAAATGTAGAAAGTATTTCTGAACAAGTTTTGTTCTCTTCTTAAAGAAACAAGCTGTACCAAGCTACTTTACTTTGGTTTTTAACCAACTCCTTCCTTTTCTCAAGCACTTACTGAAAGAACACCATGATCAGTGCACATGCTAAAGGGGAAATGTTTATTTGTCACAGGCCTTTTAAACCCTGACCTTACATAAACAAATGTCAGCGTGAGTGTAGCCCTGCTTTATCACTGAAAAGCAGTGCAAACACATCAGCACTGTTTTTTCCTGTTTGTTTTAAATTCCTTCTACCTGCTATGCACCAAACTTTCTGAGTCAGGCTTTACAGACGTAAGTTCATCTGCTCCTTTTAAATGTCTCAGATTCAAAAATGAATTTTTGAAAAAGAATGAATTCATATTAACACAGAACATTGTATGAAGTTTTACCCAGGATCACCTTTTGGACAAAGTCAAACACAACAGTCCTGCTGCCAAAACTTAGCAAAAAGGTGAAAGCAGGACTGACCTTGAAGAAATACTTGACTCTTACAAAGTTCACCCCAAAAGCTAAACGAGCAGGTGGAGAGGGCATGTCAAGCAGCCAGAGATGGGCACACCTCACCTGCTGAGCCTTCTGAGACAGTCTGGGCTCCAAGCCAGCCTT